CCAAAGTCTTTCAAATTTTAAGCTGTAAACCGAGATGTTGCCTGAGGTGTTTTTCTTACATTGCCGCCTGCTTGTTCCTGAAACCCCTCTTCTTTTCAGTACTGTACTGAACTGTCTGCTGAGGTTAAGCAAGGTGAAGGTTGTAACTAAATCATGAAGGCTTTTCATTTAAAGTTTTGTATCTTTGCTTCTTTCAAAAAAATATTAAATGAGAGAGTTAATATAGGTTCTCCTGGTGGGTTATAAATTTAAATATGAGTTAAATACATCTAAATTAAGTAAGTTCAAGTCATTAAATCTTTATCAAGAATCTTGAATGACTAAGATATATGAGCATACGCTGGCAAAGATAAAACTAAATACTATATGTTCTTAGGTCTCAAGTAGCTTGTCCTTAAGAAAGATACAAGTTTATTTAGCAATTGAAACAAGTGAAGAGATATGTGCTGACTGGTATATACTTGAGTTGTTTAAAGAATATTCCTAATAATTTTTCTGATGATTCTATATATAGTAAAGCAAACAAGAAACCCAATTTAATAATCTAAAGCAGCTTGTTGGATGAATGGCCACATCACATAAAATTGCTACTTAATTGAATGACAATCATTATAGCTAAAAAAATCCAATAAAATAATTTGAATGGCTATTGGTACAATTAACCATTTTCTCTTTTATACCATAAATCTCAAGTCAAATATTTAAGTGTTCACTACATTCCAAGACACCATGCCATGAGTTTTGAAGAATAAAGAGACTTGAAAACACACTCTCTGTCCTCAAGGAACTTTTAGTTTTCTGGTTGGCCAGACAAGGATCCCCTTTGTATAATATAAACATAAGAATTACAGAATTCCAAAGAAGGAAGAACTAACTCGTAGTTAGGGCTGTCAGGAATGGCACATAGAGAAAGCTGAAGGATTGTCAGAATTTTGATGGGGGTTTTGGGCATATCAGATGACAGAATGGCAAGAATTGAGCAGCAAAGGCAGAAGGTACACAGAGCATTTTGAGTGTAATGAAATGCTTTAGTTATGCTAGAATAGAGGGCTCCTTCCTGCTGTCAGGAACAATCAGGCCAGAACAACACGTTGAGGCCATATTATGAAAGCTTTAAACACGGGCAGTGGAGTTTGTACTTTATGCTATAAGCACAAGTGTTTCATGGAAAGCTTTTGAGCAAGCGAGTGATGTTACCAAAGAATCAATTTAATAAGATGGTTCTTGAAGTGATACACAAATTACCTGGGAGGGGGAAGAGCCTGAAGGCAGAGTGCTCAGGTAAGAGGCCAAGGCATTAGTCCGGATGTTAGCTGGAAAAGACCAGAATCAGGGGACAGTTAGGAATGAAGGACAGACTAAACCTGGTTTTCGTTTGTTTCTGTTTTGATGCAGCATTTAGCATATTGCTATAAATGAATAATATAACAAAAATGCCAAAGTTAAATGTGTGGGTAATCTTCATTGTTGATGAGTGAACATTCACAGAATGACAGTGTCCTATAAAAGACAGCCACATGAATTCTTTTTCTAAACGATGATATCAAGACCATTGTTCATAACCCAGTTTTACTCATGTTCCCTGTGTAATTTTCCAAGTGAGACATTCCATTGACAGTTTAATCCCAGAAACCTTGTTGTGCTTTTGATGAACTGTTATATTTTCTTCTTTCTCAGAATAAGAGCTACGAAGCTCAGGCAATCTTCTCTGAACGCCAGCAGGCTCGGAACCAGGCTTTCAGTTTAACCACCACAGCTGCGTTGACTGTGAACTGTAATCTGCTTTCTCCTTTGTTCTAATCCCTCCTCCCCACCCCTCGCATTACTCTTCACTAATCTTACTGTCTGGGTTTCTCCTCTGCACCCAGTGTCTCTAAATGATTTTTCAAAGAGGCAAAGGATAAATACAGTACGTTTAATATGTGCCAATAGCTCTCCCTCCTGTCTCCAGCCTCAGTTTCTTCCCTGAACTCCAGCATGGTATTCCAACATCTTGCTTGTATTTTGCCCCAGCCTCTAAACAGGTGGCCCTGTCTAGCACTTTCTTATGTCCAACCTCCAGTCTTATTCATATGTGGCCCCGGAATCAACAGCATCAGCATCACCTGAGAACTTTTCAGAAATGTAAATGCTCAGGCCCCACTCCAGAGTACTGAATCAGAAACTCTGGGGGTAAGGTCCAGCACTGTGTGTTGTAACAAGTCCTCCAGGTGATTGTAACACAGGCTGAAGTTTGAGAACCACGGCTCTAGAGAATGACTACTCTTTCTCTTTCTCTCCTGGTCTATGCATTCTCTAGCTCATGGTGTCTGTGGTCCACTCTGCAAATTTGGCAAATTCTTTATACACTTTTTAGAATGAATATATATTCTATTAGTTGGCATTATTGGAAACAGTCCAAGAAAGGCAGTTTACCCATTCTAATTTTTGAAGATGGTTCAGTTAGGGTTGAGATTAAAGGTTCTATTGTTAGTGAAGTGGACTAGGACTCAATTCCTAAATTACACAAATGCCATCCAATTGATATCTTTAAAGGAAATGTGTCGCTAAATGTTCCCATTAGTATGTAAAGAGATTATTGCTCCCCACCCACCTTTTTAAAATTAAGGAGCACTTTATAAGTTTAAATGTAGTGACAGCTTCTAAAACTGGTTTGTAATGTTCAAATTGTTTTGGTAAGGAAAAGAAGTAGCCAGAAAGTAAGGAGTTTCAGTGGAAATCTCTGATTAAATAGAGGCAGAAAATAGATTGGGGGAGAGGGGATGTCTTGCAGTTCTGCAGGGTGGCAAAATAAAGAAATAGACAAGTATTATTGCAAAATAAATGAGTTTCTAAGATTTATTTAATTATAATTTGAAAGATGTCAGTAATCCATGCAGCTAATAAGTGGGTCAGAGCAGTCTTGTTCTACAGTTGATTACATTTAATGACTGGGTCAAAGGCAGTCTTGTTCTACAAACAAACAAACATTTATTAGGCATTAATGCTGCATGCATTTCTACCAGGAGCTTTTCATCTACTTAAAGAGTCAAGGTTGGCAAAGTCTAAAGCAACACCCAAAACACAAGATAATAGATGGTTAAGTGCTAAAGTATGTTATCCTTGATGTGCTTTTTTTTTTTTGTACACTCAGAAATCTCATCCCTCATGACTTTATCTAATAACTATGTAGGTCAGCGTTCTCAGTCTTGAGTAATGTGGGGATGGACTGCTGCAAAAATTTCTTACATTCCCTCAGTACGGGATGAAAACATTTTATTACTATTTTACCTAAACTTGTACCAATCTAAAAATAGATACAAACTGCTTAGGCTTATGACTCTTAAACTACTATTTTAAAAAACCCAACAATTTTCAAGTTAAATACAGAAAAGCTGTACATTCAACAGAATTCAAATTAATTTAATGGCATGGGTGATGTTTAATTGAAACAAAAATTACCACTCAAAGCCTGAGCATGGTTCTGCCTGCTATGGTGGTTTCCTTTGTGCTCAATCGATCTTTCTCACTGTGAGTCAGGGATGACTTGGCTCCCAAACTACTGAGAAACTATCCTTTATATACTTACTGTGGGTTTTTCTTTTTTCTTATGCTTTTTTTTCTTTTTTGCCTGCAATTTGTACAAACACATTGTGTATGTATTAACTCTGCTTATGATATTTTCTCATTATTTGGCAATAATTAATAGATTTCAACCTGATTGAAATTTTAAAAAAAGGTGAGAAATACAATCTTGGGCAATATTTGGTATAAGGAAGCCATCCACATGGCACCAAGTTTTCTCTTGTTACTTTTTAAAGATCATCATAGATATGAAGACTTGAAATCCTCATTAAAAGACATTAAAATCCCCATTAAAAACTGAGGGTATCCTGTGGTGGACACAGCTGTGCCTCCCAGATCCTCATACAAGGAAGCATGTGGTGCGCCAGCTGCCCCAGCCCGCAGCTCTCAGTTCCTCTAGGGTTTTTTCATCTGCAAACAGCTGCCTAGCCCAAGGCTGGAACTCATCCTTCCCCAGATGCCTACATTCACTGACTGATTGAGGCTATTCCTCTCAACAGGGACAACTCTGATGGGCCCTATGTGCTCCAGACTCCCCGCGTGCATTGCAGCTCCACCACTCCCTCCAATCCTGCTTCCCCCACTCCATTAGTGATAATCCCTACTAAATACCCTGCCTGACAAACTCTGTCTCAGTGCCTATTTCCAAAGACATGAGTAGCCAAGAGCTCTCAGCAGCCTCTCAGAGGACTCCCCAGAGGAGTGAGGATGCTTCTTCTGTAGCCCTGATTCTACTTGCAAGCTTCTGGCCTCAAAGTTCAGCTTCCGGTTGTGTATTCCTGCCAGCTCTTCAAGCTCAACAGGTCCAAATCTGATGCATAACCGATCTCGTAGGCTTGAGCCTGAGAACATTTTGTGTTTTTCCCCCGTGTTATAATTTATTTAATGGTGCTACCAGCTCCTTCCCAGAGTATCAAGAGTTGAAAGACAGTTGTGATTCCTCATACCCCTTGCTCTGCAGTCTGTTATTCACACTTCTTAACATGGGGAGAACTTTGCTCATTTCCTCAGGGATCCACTTCCCCCTAAACAAGGATGTGACTGTAATGATAATAAAGAGCTTCTGTTTGCTCTTGGGATATCTATTTTTTTTTTTTTTTAATAGTTTTGGGTTCCCTTCCCTTCAATTGCATAGACTTTAAATACAAAAATAATTTTCTTTCTCCTAAAAAATAAATATGCAAAATTCCAATCCACAATCACCTATTTATTTTGGAGCACAGTATATTGGTTCACATATTAAATAAGAGAGGAATGCTTTGAGGGGATGGCAGCCAATGCTAAAAGCTTAGGACAAAACATTAATTTTGTCCCAGCTTAATGTAAAATACATTCAATTTTTGTTTCTTCTTTATCTTTTACATTGCACTAAAGAGTAAAAAAAACCAGGTCTTGATAAGTGTCAAAATAATAATTTTATAATATAGACACCAAAACACATGTGAATGTTTATTATGTGGTTTAGAAGTCTATGAAAGCATACATATTTTTAAAAGCAGGCAACTCATTGAAAGATACTATTGTTTAAAATTGAAAGTTGTGTTGTCAGTTGAAAATGAGAATCCGAGATATTCGTGAGGGACAAATTATCAGGAAAGCAGTAGAACATTTCCTGCCCATGGGTGCAGTCTTGATGATTGGTGATGGCCATGACAAATCCAAAAACCATCACCACAGCACCAATGGGAAGCATGAGACAGGACATTATCTTATCTGAGTGTGTCCTCGGTTCTTCAGACAGTCTCAGATAACATGCTGATGGAATGATGAAAATTAGGGGAGCTGCACAGAGTGCACCCTGTGTGTTGAAAACAAGAAAAAAAGATATTGTTACCAGATAGAAGCATTCTTTGGACAGTTTTTAAGAATGTTTAGAAAATGTATTTTTCAATGCACATGTTAAAAATTCAATAAGTTTAATTGAATCAAACAGAGGAAAGAAAAATAATTCTAAGAAAGACTCAGAAATAGGTTTTTTTCCTTTTCTGATGGTATACAGTATATCAAACAAAAAGAGTAAAACAGTGTGACAGTATATGGAACTTAAGAAAAGATGATCAGAAAATAACGTAGAAAATAAAGCAGATGGTAAAACTGACTTCTGGAAAGCTCTTGAAATTTCCCATATTTCTAGTTACATTATATTTCCTTATACTCTTCATCTGAAATTACTGTGTATCTACTATGCACTTCAAATCTGAGTGGCCTGTCATTTGTGAACAAGTGGGGACTTTAAGAAATTGTACTGGGAATACTGTCTTTCCTCTTTACCTGAGCTTGTATGGAGCCTGTCTGTGTGAGAAAGGCAAACTATAACCCTAAGGGCACTTAACATGAAATAGCATTTGTAAATCCTCTTTCAAAGAAAACTAAACACATTAATTACCCTAAAAGATTGACAGCAGAGCTAAATAACTGTAACTCCTTTACCCTCCCCCACCTTAGTTATGGGTAAGTCCAACCTAAGGGGGAATGTCAGATTGAAAATAATGGGTAGTAGAGTTGTCTATTATAAAAATACTAAGAGTTTTTGACTTTAAAGAAGAAGACTTTCCCCTTGAATAGGCTTAATTCACACTACAAGTGTTGCAAATGGGGTAAATGTTAATATTTAATGCATTTTAGGTAATACATTTTTCTAATTATGTTACATGTTAATTATATTATATTAAATAAAATGTAACATTATTAATAAAAACATTAACATTTATGATAAATGTTATTCTCTTAAATAATAAAACAAGTTTTTAATAAATGTATTGTGTATATTTGAGGTTTACAAAATAATGTTATGGGATACATACAGATATGGTTATTATCGTGGAGCAGATTAACATATCTATCATCTCACATAGTTACTTTTTTGTGTGACAAAAGCAGCTAAAATCTACTTAAACAAAAATACTAAATACGATACAATTTTATTGAGTATAGTCCTCATGTTGTCCATTAGATCTGTGGACTTGTTCATCTTACATATGTATCTGTGACTTGGTATCCTCTGATCTACATCTCCCTACTTCGTCTGTTCCTCCCTTTGTTTTTTTTTTTTTTTCTATTCCTTTTTGTCTTTTTTACTGACTGGTAACGGGATCACACCCTCGGTGTCGCGGCCGCACCGCGCTCAGCCAGTGAGTGGGAACCGGTCTCCACATGGGATCCGAACCCTCGGCAGGAGCGCCACAGCGCTCCCAAGTGGCGCACTCTCCAGTGCGCCACCGGGCGGGCCCTGTTCCTCCCTTTGTATTCTCTATTTCTGTATATTTGACCTTTTTTTCCTTTGAATTCCATATATACATAAGATCGTGCAATATTTTTCTTTCTCTGCCTGGCTTATTTCACATAGCATAATGTCCTCTAGGTCTGCCCACATTGTAGGAAATGGCAGGATCTTTTTTTTTAAGGCTAAATAATATTCCATTGTATTCATATACCACATTTTTTTAAATTAGGCCATTGATGGACATTCAGTTTCCATATCTTGGCTATCGTGAATAATGTTGCAATGAATATGGGAGTGCAGATATCTTTATGATGTGATAATTTCATTTGCTTTAGGTATATATCCAGAATACAGGTTGCAGGGTCATGTGGCGGTTCTATTTTTAGTTTCTTTAGCAATCTCCATAATTTCTTCCTTAATGGCTGTACCAGTCTACATTCCCACCAACACTGTACAAAGGTTCTTTTTTCTCCACATCTTTACCAACATTTGTTTTTGTCTTTTTCAAAATAACCACCCTAGTGGGTGTGAGGTAGTATCTCATACTGGTTTTAATTTCCATTTCCCTGTTTATTAGTAGTGTTGAACACTTTTTCACATATCTGTTGACCATTTTTATTTCTTCTTTGGAGAAATGTCTGTTCAGGTCTTTTGCCCGTTTTTTAATCAGCTTATTTGTTTTTCTGCTTTTGAGTTGTAAGAGTTCTTTATAAATGAAATAGAATTTTGATATTAACCTCTTATCAGTTATGTAGTGTGCAAATATGTTTTCCCAGTTCATAGGTTGTCTTTTCATTTTGTCGATTGTTTCTTTTGTTCTGCAGAACATTTTTAGTTTGATGTGGTCCCATTTATTTTTGCTTTTGTAGTCTGAGCTTTTGATGTGGTGTCCAAAAAATCATTGCCAAGGCCAACATCAAGGAGCTTTTCTCCTATGTTCTCTTCTAGAAGTTTTATGGTTTCATGTCTTACATTTAGGTCTTTAATCCATTTTGAATTGATTTTTGTGGATGGTATAAGGCAGGGGTCCAATTTCATTCTTTTGCCTATGGAAATCCAGTTTCCCCACCATCATTTATTGAAGAAGCTGTCCTTTCCCCATTGTGTTCTTTTGGTATTCTTTTTAAAAATTAGTTGTTTCTATATGCTCGAATTTATTTCTGGGCTCTCTATTCTGTTCCACTGGTCTATGTTTTTGTTTTTATGCCAGTACCATACTGTCTTGATTACTACAGCTTTGTAATATAATTTTAAATAAAAATTTTAATGTGTGATGCCTCCAACTTTGTTTTTCTTTCTCAGCATTGCTTTGGCTATTCAGGTTTGTTTGTTTGTTTGTTTTTTGTGGTTCCATACAAATTTTAGGACTGTTTTTTCTTTTCCTGTGAAGAATGCCATTGGAATCTTGATAGGAATTTGTTGAATCTGTATATTGCCTTGGGAAGTATAGACATTTCAACAATATTAATTCTACCAATCCATGAACATGAAACATCTTTCCATTTATTTGTTTCTTCTTTAACTATTTTATCAATGTTTTATAGTTTTCAGTGTACAAATCTTTCACCTCCTTGGCTAAATAAAGTGTTTTATTTTGTTTTTTGATGCTATTGTTATTGGGATTGTTTTCTTGATTTCTTTTTCAGCTATGTTGTTATTTGTCTATAGAAATGCTACTGATTTTTGTATGTTGATTTTGTATCCTGCAACTTTCCTGAATTAACTTATTAGTTCTAACAGGTTTTTGTATGGAATCTTTTGGGTTTTCTACATATAGAATTATGTTATCTGCAAATAGAGATAATTTTACTTCTTCCTTTCCTATTAAGATGCCTTTATTTCTTTTTCTTGTCTGATTGCTCTGACTAGTGTTTTCAATACTATGTTGAACAGAAATAGCGAGAGTGGGCACCCCTGCTTTGTACATACGGATCTTAGCAAAAAAGCTTTCAGTTGTTCCCTGGTTATTATACTGTTAGTTGTGGATTTTTCATAAATGGCCTTTATAAGGTTGAGGAACTTTCCTTCTTTACCTAAACTGTTGACAGATTTTATCAAGAACTGATGCTGAACTTTGTGAAAAGCTTTTTCTGCATCAATTGAGATGATCATGTTGTTTTTAATCTTTCATTCTCTTAATGTGATGTTAATGAGACATCATAAGGTTTATTCTCTTAAACCATAAAATGTAAGTTTTTTAAACATACAGTCAATGGCAAATGTAATACTGGTTTATAATTAAATGCAAGCTTTCCATAAAATGTGTCTCTATATTTTAAAAAGTTATTATTATGTAAATGTGTAAGTATATATAAAAGCAGAAAAAACAGTATAATAAAACCCTATGCACCTATTACTTATGGTTTAAAAACTTTTTGACACATTATTTTGGTAGATTTTCCCCAGGGAAAATCACAGCAAACTTAATTTTAAGTTGGATGATGTGAAATAACAAATAATACTTTAAAAACAGCATTAAAAATAACTATTTTGTCAGTTTCACCATTTAATAAAATTACTGTGTGCTTTATACTAAGCACCATCTCCAAACCAGAAATATTACAACTATAATTCCAATAATATAACTCCTTAAGCTTTTACAAAAACAAAATGTGTCCAGAGAAATGGCAATTAAGGGTGATACATTGTGAAATCAGCCTAGCCAGGCAGTATTTAAAAATCTGGGGAAAAATGTCAGGCATCAAACTGCACAGAAAATATTTCCACACTAAGAGCAATAAGAATGAGAAAATACTAACGGATACCAAAATTGCATTCTGATTTAAAATGTATGGACAATATACTTTTACCATTCATGGCACCTGAATACAAATGAATACCTACAAAGGTACACAATAAATAAAAGATTAGTCATATGGCTGGAATTCAATGAATTATGGATTCCCTAGATTCTATCATGATACTTAGAATTGACTATGCTTTTTAAGTTATGGAAAATACTGTTGAGTTCAGTCTGTGTTTATAACAAGAAAGTATTACTCTCTGATTTCTTTGAAATAAGGATTTATGAAAATAACAAAAAAGTAATTCAAATACAGATACATATGTGTGTGTGTATATATGTGTGTGTGAGAGAGTGCATAGATATAAGTATAGATATATACTTGTGTGTGAGTGTGTAGGCTCTTTGTAGGAACAAACATGTAAGGCTAATTCATCTGGTATTGCAGAGTGGGAAGATACTATCAGGATGAAAATCGCCACCAGCTGCTGCTAAGAAGCTGTCATCAGTCAGGCTTTTGGGACTCTTCCAAACCTAACTTTCTGCACAGTGCAAAGAACTGGGTGATCTGTTTATGTTATAATTCTTAAGAGTTGAGAAAGTAGCAATTAGACGGAAAACTATATAGCTAATGTTTGTACTGGAAGAAGTCCAATAGCTTGTCTAGATACCAGCTACTTTCTTGATATTTGAAAGCTCAATTTTGCTGGAGGTTGTTGCTAGGACTCAAGATCATTAGTAAAATGATAGTGCAGTTCCATCTGATCCCTATAAATTAGGCCAGTTTATTTGTTCTATTTAATGCAGACTTGCTTGAGGACACACCACTGGCTTTGGAATAATTTTTGAAATTGCCTGAAAGCATGTAAAACCATAGCTGCTTATTAAAAAGACAATAAAATACAGTCTTATTTATAAAGGCAGGACAATTGATAATAATACTATTGATACCAGGGCATTTTGCAGTTTTCAGTAGGGAAAGAACAGAAGGTGTTGAAGATTTTAATGGCAATACAGATTGGAAAAGTGTCTGAGTTCTACCTAAACAGAAACCTCTCAAATAATGCAAGGAAACTTAAAACTAAATGAAAGAATCCTTATAACATACAGCTTTCAAATTTCTACTTTGTAATAAATTCAGACTTGTGAAATTTATTCCTATACTTAAAAAAAATATTTTCTCTAGCTCAGGAGGTCTTTGGCAATTTGGACTATGGTTTGCACACCCTGATGGTTGTATTTCTATATTTCAGCTCTCACTAGGTATTTGGCTAGCTTTCTTCCTTCCACTGTAAGCTGTTCACAATGCTTGCTGGGCTGGTTACTCTGGCCACAGGCACCAGCTGTTTTATTTTTTTTTCTTTGTACTGCTGCAGGTAGAAACCCATAGGGCCCAATTACTGCAGATGCCTCTTTTCTGTAATAGTAACATTAGTGCCAAGATGTTGGATTCTTATCACCAAGAATAAAACATATTTACTTTATTTACTTCTAAAAATAAATCCTTTAAAGTTGAGGATGTGTTTGCTTTTGAAAAACGTTTCTTTGTCTATTGCCATGAAAACCACAAAATAAAAGGAAAGCAAAGTTCTAAATGGGGTTTTAAATTAAATAGCTACTTTGTATAACCCAAAATAATTTATCTTATATTATTTAGTTATATAACTAACTTTCCCCTCACTTTGCAAGATCTGATTCTAATCTACATCTCATCTGCGAGGGTCATTATTCTATTTAGTCATGATTCAGAAGACACAATAGAAAAGAATTCCTAAAGTACTATGATTATCACCTAAAATAAAAGCTATTAACTAAAATCCTAACTAAATCCTATTAACTAAGAATTATTGAGACAAAAAACTATTAGTTCCATTTTATATCATATTCTGGTATATATTTTAATTCATTATTAGAGTCTATCCATATGTATTGTGGATTACTCTTAACCTTACTTCCAGATAAACTCAATGCATAGATTTTTTAATTTATAAATGGATAGAGAAATGAGCATAATAATTTTACATAACTTAAAGCTTACACTTAGGAAATCTCAGACTTATATAATGATTAAAAATGTGGGCTATCTCCAAATGCATGTGTTCAAATCTTGATTCTTCTACTTAAAACTAGCGTGACCACAGACTATTTATCTAGCCATTCTATGCCTCAGTTTCATCATCTGTAAAGTTAATATGGATGACAAAAGATAACGCACACAAAGCACTTGACACAGATCAAGTACTTAGCGCACATTATCATTATGAAGTGGAACACAGCATGCTTTAGTTACTTCTAATGTGTTGCATTATCCAATACGCATTAGTTACTGAGAGAAATAATGCTTGATTTGGCTCTGTTAGACATGGTAAGTGCCCACACAAAGGGGATTTTAGCAAAGACTTGAATATGTTATTGTGTACACCAAAATACTTTTATCACTGGAAAAAACACAATATTCTCAGGTGGTCTGACAGAGAATGGAGATGTACATTTTATTAATTTCCACAAAGTACTTTTTTTTTTTTTCCTTTTTGTCTTTTTCCGTGTCCGGCAACGGATCGCAACCCTCAGTGTCGCCCCCGCAACGGACCGGGACCAGCAACGGGATCGCAACCCTCGGTGTTGCCCCCGCGCCTCGCTCAGCTCGGGAGCGGGAACCGGTCTGTATGTGGGATCCGAACCCTCGGCGGGAGCGCCGCTGCGCTTCCCAAGCGGCGCACTATAGCAGTGCGCCACCGGGCCGGCCCTCCACAAAGTACTTTAAAACTAATGTAACATAACATATAATTTAGCATTCTTTATTTTTTTTTAATGTACATCTATATAGCAGGTTTTTAAAAATCTAAGGATCTAGAATCATGTTTTAAATTTTTAAATAGTTCTTCATAGCCAGATCAGATTTTGACTTTACAAGAGATACTCACGGTATTATTCTCCATTTGTTCTATAACACCAGAATTCTGCCTTACCACAAAAAGTTTGCAAATTTAAATATAACAGAAAATATTTAATGTGATTACATGCTTACAATTTTGTTGTGCAAGTGTCACAGAGATTAGGATTTAACTTTACAGAAAGTAATAGTTAAATTTACAAAAATATATCATTCCTGAAAAATGAGCAATAAAGGTGTGTTTGGTTAGCTCAAAGAGAATACAAAATTTTATAGGCTATCAAGATGTGGTGAATGTTCAGACAGTTGATAAACATATTTCCTCTCACAACAAAATTCTTACAATATTACAAAACAAACAATCAAAAACACTTGTGAATTAAAATGAGACATTTCATATACCAAGGAAAAAAAACATTACGTTGATCATCTTCACAGGATAATTGAAAGATTACTACTACTTTCAACATCAACAATTTTTTGTAACACTCAATTTTCTGATACTACACTGAAGAATGTATCTTATGTACAGGAATATGTATAGAAATAGGTCCTAAACTGTGGTCCCAAGAGGCAATAACTCATGCAATAATTTGAGCACTGTGTTCTTAGCACTGTGCCAGATACCATGGAGGATAGAGAGGGTGGTTAAATATTCTTGTCCTCAAAGATCTTACTATTTGGCACATACGGCAAGCTTATGGACATTTCAAACAGTACATGATATGAAATAATACATAAATCACGCTAGTGCCTTTAAGTAGCAGTGATCCACGTACACAAATCAAGATTGGTACATGAAATGATTCAGAGTGGATCTACCAGCTTTGGCCTATGCAAAATTGGGAAGTAGTTAAAAGTTGCCTTTGACATTTGTCCACCTCTCCTATGAGCTTTCTTTCTACTATTGGTGGAACAGACAATTTCCCAGTCCCCTGAGGTTTTGAAAAGCTGCCTACTCCCCACTTTTCATTTTCTCTGCTGCAAGAAAATTCCCACTAGTGTGTTCCTGACTGAATCTTTTACTGCCTTTTACTGGAACGTCAAATCAAAATGGGATCTGGAGGGAACAGTAACTTGGGGACTGGCAATAATACCTTAATCTATCCCTCAACTCTCAATGGAATGAGTAAATGATGACTTGGGATCCCACCCACAAAAGCCTACCCTCCCAGTGGTGCATGATCAATAAATGCTAAATGGTATATGATTCTGATTAGATATTCTGTAAGGATTGTAGAAGGGGAAGATTCTACCTTTTAGTGGTAGATCTACTTCATGCCTATCTTACCAAATGGCAACATTATCTTAGTTCCACAAAGTAGAACTAATGAATCATTCCTAATGTGTCCTTCTATCCCTTTGTCCTCCCAGTTAAATCTGTCACCAAATTGTGTCAATCTTTTCTCAAAAATGTCTTTTGGGAGCCCATCCACTTCCCTCTGTCTTCTTCATTGCCTATATAGCAGTTGAACTTTTATGTTTATTTATGAAAAGGCGTAGATCCTTTCTGATTTCCTGTATCATATTTCTATTGTGTGGCACATAGTAATTACCAAATAAGTGCATGATCAATGAATAAATGAGTTAGAAGTTGCACTAGACCTTGATGTCCTTGTAAGATGTGGACAGAAGTTAAAGGAAAATAATCATTATAGGAAAGGAAAAACACACAAGACAAAGAATCAAAGGAAGAAGTGTTATAACTTATTCACAAGCGAAAAATAAGATTGACTAGAGCTGAGGGTAGACTTTGGGAAGCAAATGGGAAATCACTTTCCATAGAAGGCATGGGCCAGATTACAGAGACAACAGAGTTTATACTTGCTCTGGTAGGAAAGTAGAGATTTTTGAGCAGGTTGCTGATAAATTGAAAGCAGAACTTAAATATATGCTAGCTGAAGCAAAAAAGTCAGGATTAATTCAGATGTGATATAATGAGGACCTAGATTTCGGTGGTGGCAGTAGAAACTACAAAAGAAGGTCTGGAGAGAGAAAAAACATTTAAAGAAAAAGAAAAAGAAATTAGGCCATGGCAAGTGAATGTGTAATATGGTATAACTATTTCTTTCATATTTTTAATAAATCTCGACAGACATTTTTTACTGAAAGAAAATTCCAGAGCCATTTAATTTATAGTTATTTTTAGAAATATCATGTATTTCTGTAAATGAGATATGTAAAAGTGCTCTAAACCAGGATTTCTCAACTACAGACATTTTGGGGTGGATAATTCTTTGTTGTGGGGGGCTGTCCTGTGCATTTTGGGATGTTCGGCAGTCTCCCTGGCCTCCACCCCCCAGATATCAATACAACTACCTACCCACTGTGTCAACCAAAAGTGTCTCCAGACATTGCCAAATGTTCACTGGGGTTGAAGAGCAAAACTGCCCCATTTGAACCACTGCTTTAAAACTATGTAGTCCTATAAAGTGCACAGTGTCATCATTATAAATATTTACTATTATATTAGAAACACATCTTCATTTCACTTCAGAAAGTGACACTTTAGTTAAGGAAAATACATCATATGCTAAGTGTAAACATTATTATTATTATTTTTTTTTCCTTTTTGTCGTGACCGGCAACGGATCACAACCCTCAGTGTCGCGCCCGTACCGGACCGGGACCGGCTACGGGATCGCAACCCTCGGTGTTGCTCCCGCACCTCACTCAGCCAGTGAGCGGCCGGTCTATATGTGGGATCCGAACCCTTGGCGGGAGCGCCGCCGCACTTCCCAAGCGGTGCACTGCTACAGTGCGCCACCGGGCCGGCCCTAACCATTATTTTTAAAGGGATTTTTAAAATGGAAGGAGCAAATATTTAAATGAACTTACACTGAGTTCTAAAACTATCCCAAGGCAATCAACCAGCAATGACAGAAGCGTGACTACAGTGACGATAACCACCGTTACGACGACGTGGAACGCTGACGAAAGATTCCCACCAAAAAACACATTGGCAATTACCTGCCGAATAAACAGATTATTTTGAGAGGGACTCCCAGAGGCATGCAGGCCTAATTGAGAGAGTATTTCATAATAGCACTTAGGACCGAAAAAAATACTACCAATGAGGAAGTTAATCAAATCACAAGTCACTATGAATATTCTATCTTTTCTAAGGTACTTACAAATAGACACATATCAATAACAAGTATTCCTTGCTTAATGATTAGACAGTCTGTGGATTATATTCCAGACCAAGAGTAAGGCATACCAATGTTTGAACACATCTATTTCTCAAGTATAAGAGAGACCTTGGGAAGTTACCTTATCCTTCTTCCTTGAGTCCAACAAGGTTACTTCTAAAACAAACTATAGATGCTATTTAGATTATTTGACTGACCTCTAAGGAAGAGTTACCATGTTTCCTGTAATAATACTGGATGTGTGATATCCTTTACTAACAGGAAATTAATTCTATGTAAACTAAGTCCCATTTGTTATAACTTAAGTCCAGTTTATCTTGCCTCCTTTCTTCAACAAAAATGGAGAAGAGTTCATCACCATTTTCCTTAATACACAGACCAGGAAATCAGTCAACAGTTATCTATTTAATGTGTCCCACACTGTGATATGATTTGTGAAGAGAAAATGTCTAGGAGATGATTCCTGTTCTCAGGAATTAACATCCTAAGTAGAGGTATACAACCAATCTAAAGAAACATATAGAGGTCAATGTATGACAGGATAAAAAAAAAGATTAAACAGAATTTAGAACTAGAAGGAGCTTTAGATATCTAGATCTGTCTCCCTAAAAGTAATCTCCTTTATAGCATTCCTGAAATGCGCTTGACATACCTAGGATTGAAGTGGGGCTTGAAACATGGAGAGGATTTGGAGCAGAATTACAGGCTGAGGCAGTAGTGTGAAAAACAGCAAGAGGTAAGAATGGGAGTGATACCTATGGAGGATATGGCAGTGACAGTCTGAATAGATGGGTGACCCTGTGCAAAAGAACAGTGGGACGAGAGCTGGAAATGGTGGGGTGGGGGGGGTCAGATGCTGGGGTATGGTAACGAAGCTGCTGTCCAAGCTATATTACCTACATCTGTGACATTTCCCACACATCACATACTGCCATGACTCTGCCAATAATTTAATGGTGATACTAATAACTTTAACTAATTATAATTTGTAATGTCTTTCCAAATATCAAAGATATGACCGTGAGAGGGAAAGTCATTCAGTGAGGCAGGCTACTGAGGAATACTTATTAGTACTAAATTAAAGGGGTAGACAACCTTTCTGGCAACCTTGTATGTGGTTGGCTACTTTACCTATAAATAGAAATGATTTCAATAATGTTTATGTCAACTGTATATTTGTGCATGTGTGTGTAGGGGGGGATATGTGTGTGTAGAAAGAAGACAAAGAGAAAAGACATGAATGGGTAAGCAATACAGGACATTTCTCTGCGTAATATTTGCTACCCTGACAGAGACCTTGATTTATTTCTGTCTTCCTCTCATGGCAGCAAAAAGTATATTCAAGTTCCAAGCACTAGAGACAGAAATTTTGCAGGTGAAGTGATCAGACTGTCCCAGGCAGTTTACCGGAAACCGCATGAGAATACATCACGTGTTCTTGTTGATCTAGAGATCAAATTTGAACCTAAAGTTCCAGGTAGAAGCTAAAATAATACCATTTTCTGCATTAAGCAATAGCTGGCAAATTTTTGAAAGACTTTTAAATTTTAAAAAATCTTCATAAAGTAACCTTAGTTCAGTCTACTTACAGTAAGGTGGAAAAATGGGCTGTGAGTTACATATTTGTAAGTGAGCAGAAGTCTAATGGTAAAGGACACATAGTGCTGAAATGTTTCTCTCTTCTGTGTCTCAGTGCAGTTCCTTATCCCCAGTGCTGGCATAAGGTAAGCACTGACCTGCCTGAGAAGCCTGCCTTGAAGCTCTGTAGATGTTCAACTTTACATGTTAGACCCATTCACATGGTACACTGTGTAAACAGCCTCTGGGAAAAGGGCCTCAGAGTAAGCCCTTTTCAGTGTGATTCTTGAAAGAACCACTGTAAAACAGGATCACATTTTATTGCTGGTATGGTGGATTTTTAGCTGACAGCATAAGGAATTCCTGATAACCCATGTTATCCAATTTTATACCACAAGAATTTCCTTTTGGCTAATCTTTCCCCACAAATCCGGGTGGACTATACAACATAATTTGGAGCTGACTTTAAAAAAGAAATATATATATGTATAATATTTTTATACATTTAAAATATTTTAAATATTTTAAAAATATATGTATTTATATTTTTATATATGTATGCATGTACATATGCACACACAAACACACACACATACTTGGAACTTGAATTTACTTTCTAGCTGCCATGACAGGAAGACATATATTTTACATATATAATATACTACATATTTATATTATTTTATATGCTATATAAATGAGACTATAAAATATATTTATATAAATGTATAAATAAAATCTGTGAAACTAAAGGTTTAAGTTGAATTTCAGTTCTATGGAATAGAAGACATTTTCATTTTTAAAAAATATCAAAACCAATTAGAATTTGATCAATGGTGCCTTTAATATACGTTGACTTGGGCCGGCCCGGTGGCGCACTGCTATAGTGCGCCGCTTGGGAAGTGCGGCGGCGCTCCCACTGAGGGTTCGGATCCCACATACAGACCGGTTCCCGCTCACTGGCTGAGCGAGGGGCGGGAGCAACGCCAAGGGTTGCAATCCCGTTGTCGGTCCCGGTCCGGTACGGGGGCGACACTGAGGGTTGCGATCCGTTGCCGGACACGGAAAAAGACAAAAAGGGGGAAAAAAAAAGATACCTATATTCTCCAAAAGGGTGCCCAAAGGAAAAGAGGGCAATGGCCTGGGTGAGGGGTCTCTGACCATAGGAAGAAAGAGATGTGGAGGACAAAGGAGAAGCCCCCAAAAAGACAATTTCATAAAACACATTTTAAACATTGGTACTTAATTTTTTTGTAAGAATAGTTTAAAAAACAACCACCTCGGTGTGGCTGTACAAGACTGACATTTACTGTGGAACGCAGTTGTCTAAACATTTGTGCTTATGTTAATATAAACCAAGCCGCCAAACATAATTTTCAAATTTAACTTTTGAAAAAGTTATCGTGTAAACATCTGAATATAAATTCATCTTGAAACTCTGACATTTTGTATTTGAAAAATAAAATTTTATAAATTATATCACCTGTTATATAATTGGGAATTTGCAGCATCAAATTATTTATAAATCTTCCTAAATTTAATGGGTTAAAGTGTTGGGAAGAATTGTGCTTACCTCTCTAGTCACAAAGCATTCAATTGGGTATGTTAAAATGACACTGATGCCATAAGAAAACCTCCCAACTGTTACCAGATCATCACTTCTGCAATAATTTTCAAATAAGTCACCTAGAGAATAACATAAAATAAGTTTATTTACTAGATACTGAATATTTGAGATAGCTAAGAAATGAGATATTAGATATTTATTATATAAGTGAAGCTGCATAAACTTCATTCCATTTAATTAAGAGAATAGATTACCAGGTCTAAACCTAAGTTTTTGCAGTCAATAACTATGTAGGTATTCACTGACATTAAAATCAGTACATGTTCCACTTGAAGTTAAGTTCATCACTAATAGTTTTTCTCTTATTGTCATTGTTTGTTTTTGGTGGCTTTGCTTCAAATTTGTATCAACTTCTGAAAAATACTTTATCCATTGTCTTCTTACATCAGAATCAACTCCCTACATTCTTGTGCACTAGCTTTGTAAAATTACTTCTGGTCTTTGTTTCTGGTAAGTAAGTGACTTCATTATTTAAGAAAAAAAAAAGTCTGTTAAAGTAAACAAATTTCCTTTTGAAATGCTATTCTTAGATCAAGAACAGTCCTGGAAGGAAGAGTAGACCAGTACATCTGGGGAGCTGAATTTCCTGTATATCATGCTATAGAGTTTAATCACAAGCTCAGGGCCACAGCAAAGAATTACAAACTTAACATTGTCTTTGATGGCATCTGATGACCCCAAGTGTAAATGTGCTGATTCAAAACTGTGAAAATATGGCTATTTCCCAGAAAGAACATTAAATTAGTTCCGAACTCAATGATGTACCATATATATCTTGAACCAGTACTTATTTAGAGATTGTATTTTCCCAGATATCTATGACGAAATACAAGGATCTAACGAGGGCACAGAAATCATGGCAGTAGAAAACATTAACCAATGCTGAATCAGAGTATTTGGGCCTGTTTATTTCCTGAATATAATATGCTTACATTTTAAAAGTGTGGCATGTTTTTTCAATTGAATAGAAAATTAGATCAAAGTCACACACTGCTACACTATTTAAAAAGAAGAAAACTAAACAGCAATATCTCTGTACTTTTTTTTATTAAAAAGCTAAATATGTACCTTAAATGACCTGCCTCTTCCCAAGACTTACTTTAAGTGATCTTCTCCCCTCATCCCATCTAGAACAAATGTACATTCTTTCTAATTATTAAAAGTAAATTACTTTCTAATGTCCCCTTTGGGCAGAAGGAGATTAAACCACAAGGCAGTAGAGGCAGAGGCCTGCTTCAAGGTTGGTTGAAAAGGTTCCAGCACTCTCTGAGAAAAAGGGACTAAAGTTCCATGCTCACTAACCTCCACCAAGAAATGGGCCCTGCATCGTTTCAAAAGTCACTAGGAAGGTCAAGAAGAATCTAGAATTCCTACTGCCTTAGAAGCTGGAATTTATCTACTGGAAAGGGGAGAACAGAAACATGCAGTTTCCACAAACAAGACCAGATCTGCCTAAGGAGAAAGGGCCTGGAGAAATAATGCCATTTTATTCCAGCTTGAATTTAAGTGTATTTTAGGGAATTGTAGCTAAGCGAAAGATGACAACAACATCAGACACCTGTCAACTTTGTTATAGAAAGATTTAATTATATCTGAGCAATTACTACTGATAAAAACATCAGGAAGGTATGACTAGCAAAAAAGGCTTATGTCTTACAGAAAAGGCATTTAAAAACCAAGGTCCTCTACAGATGCAACCCATAGGCCATTCATCTTGGCAAACTATGTAGCAATAGTGATAGATGGCAATGTTTTGAAACACAATTCCTATCAAGACTTTCAAGGTCACTTGTTACTACACACTAAGGGCACATGCATTTATTACATTTCTGACTGCATTGGGATTAAGATAATCATTATTTTTTTAAGCCATCTTTTTTCATTTCCTGAGAAATACTGCTTTCAATCATAGTGACCTGTAATCTCTATTCCAAACAAGGCAGCTATCCTCCAAAGAGCACCCAGTGTCATCAGAAAGCTAAGCTAAGAGGAGTTAGAGGCTAAGAGACAGGTTTTAGTGGGCCACGGTTGACCAAATTACGGGAGGCAGAAAGAGAGCAGAAAGAAAACTAGACTTGGGAGTCAGAAGACTTTTTTTACAGTTTGTCAGCAGCCAGCTTGGGCAAGTTACTTCACCTCTTTGTGTTTTAAGCAGGGGTAAAACTAGTTATTCCACTTACCTTCAGGGGTTGTTTGAAGGTCAAATGAGATAACAGACCTGCAAGAGCTGTGAAGTATGTGAATCACAGCATTTAGCCTGTTGGCAGACTACTACACAGATGATTGAATGTCAGGGCCAACGAAAGGACAAGAGAGGACCATCCAGTTCTTGGGCCCAGGGAGATAAAAGTAAAGAGAAGTAGCTTTGGGGGTGGAGGGGGTGGGGAGGAAGGGAAAGGGCTGGTTCTGTGGGAAAAATGATGTTTTGTGATTAAGGCGAGAATGGGACAACTAAGTAGAAATGTCCTGCAGGCTGGAGATGAAAAGAAAGGTCTGGTCTAGAATTAACAAAAGTGTCTAGAGAATTTGTCAGAGAAAAGCAGGCAACTTGCCTGAGCCAGTTATTTGGGTGGGGTTAAGGTGGATGGAGTGGGGGATTAGAGAGGGCAAAGAGAGAAAAAAGGAAAAACATACGAACAGAGAGGAAGAATTACGATGATAGGCTAGTAGTGTGCCCTTTTCTCTGAGGGAGGAAAGGAGGAGCAAAGAAAGGATATTCGGTACTGCTCAGTGATTCAGAGGTTCAGGAGACTCAGAACAAAGCATGTTATTAGCTTTGAACACTGGGAAACTATTGGCACTTTTCGCAGTGAAGCTGCAGTGGAGCAGTGAGGAGGACAGACAGAAGTCATTTGCTTGGAAGTGACAGCACAGAAGGACAGTGCAGACTACAGAACTAAGTGTAGCAGTTTAATAAGGAAAAAATAAGGAAACAGAGACAACAGAGAGGCAGGAGGGTAGAGGAAAGAATGAGTAAAAGAGAGTGATTCTTTGAAGTAGAACACTGGGCATACTTGTACCAAAAATGAGTAGAGCATTGGATATACCTGTACCAATCCAGATGAACACCAAAATTTGATATCACTGAATCTCTCATTTTACCTTGGGTGAAGCCAGTAAATGTCAAGTATCCACATGCAGCAAACAGCATACAGATAAATAAAGAAACCAAGATGGATATATGAACGATCTTGGACCACTTAGCTACTGTGGGTTCTTCCAAAGAACCATAGACCAAGAAGCAGTTATGGTGGCAAATAAATGCTGCAATAAAAAAACAAACAAACAAACAACAATGACAAAAACCCCACCGAGCATTATTAAAGCAAGCACCAGAGCACCAGTGTTTTCTTTTTTAGTCTGAAAATTCAAAGGTATTTACTACTTTAGAATGTCAATGAATAGACTAATGTACTAAATATGTCAGAAAATAATTTTCTAATAGCTCTAGGAATGAGAAACTTCATTCACATCAGGTTTAAGTGGTCTCTTCATGTCACTGTTGATATAGAGCAGGCCTATCCAAACTTCTCTCCCATTTTCCCTTTCCTAATGACCCTTCCCACCTTAAGGAAAATCTAAAGACCACCATAATTTTCAGTCCATGCCTTCCTTTGCTATATGGGACATAATCGATTAGCTTTAGACATCCAGCCAATCTGTAACACTTTTTGTGCAAGGTGTTAAAGAAGTTCATAACACTTGCTAGACTTCTCAGTTAAGATACAAGATGACTGTAATGAGTTTTCTGCATAAGAAACAGATTTCTCCAAATTGAAGCAAATTTTAGTGATGAGTGAGAAAAGTTTGAGCCTAATTTTATATTGGCACAAACTATATCATATGCTGCTAACAGGAAGTCTAAAACTTAGGACATCTGCTATCCAGGCATACATATCAAATACAGCACTTTTTCATGGAACAGATGACTCCATATTGAGAAACGGCCTTCAAAACCATCTACTCACCAAAAGACATAACTCCAACAGCCTCAATAGCACTGGGCTTTGCAAATACCCAGGCATCTTCTGTTTTTGGTCTAGAAGAGAAACCAGTTAATTTGAAAAATTATTAAACAAATGCAAGTATATCAGAGAACAAGAAATTGTCTCACAAATATAAATTATGTATCTTTAAGCCAGAAATTAATAAGGGGCCCCCATTAATCTTATTTAATAGTAAATAAATTTCCCAGGAACATCAACGTTATCTCTTAACCCCAGTACTCTAAAATGCATGTGAAATACTTGAACAGATTCTGTTTTTACTTATGTAAAATATCCATTGACTATGGAATTTTGTGAATTTATTTATTTGCTCATCAGTTTAATAACAAACACTTAATATGCACTCACCAGTTGAGATACTCATTGAGGGGAGATACAAAAACTAATAATGCCCAGTTATTGTCTTTTATTCCCTTTTATTTTTCCAAGCTCATCCTACCCAAGGAAAATTTAGTGAGCACTACAGTTTGAGGAAGGTAGACATGAACTAATACTAATTTAGGATGCACTGACTGTGTTTTGGGAACTCTGCTGTATTATCTCATTTAAATTTTCACAACAACATTCAAGCATTATTATTTAACAGATGAGGAAAGTCAAGCCCTGGGTGGTGATATAACTTGCCAAGCTTCCAAAGATAATAAGTGAAGAGGTTGAGACTTATCTTCTTGGTCTGTTTATCTTAGTATCTATTCCATATCTGTCAGTGACCCTAAATTCCCACCTGCGATTCATTTCTCAAAGGCGTTTTGGAAATATATGCACTTTAAATAGCTTGAAGCAGCCTATATCTTAGTGGAATTAAAATATTCTGTTTCAGCAGGAATGGGCCTACCTTATTAACACACCCTTGGGTAACAATGGATAGCACAGGCTCCAAGGTTAAATAGCCTGTGTTGTTCTTCTGGCCTCTTCCACTTACTAGCTGTGTGATCTTAGGCAAGTTATTTGACCTCTCTGTGCTCAATTGCTGTATCTATAAAATGGAGATAATAGTAGTATCTAATTCATTGAGTTATTGTGTAGATTAAATGAGAAAAAAGTACGTAAAACTTCCAGAAGACTCTATCACACAGTACATGTTCAATAAATGGTTGTTAGTTTTATCGTCATTATGTATTCATATTGTCGTTGTTATCCACTGTTATTTAACAAAAGGTAGAAATCTAAAAGTATGGCCAACTTCCCTGGAAAAGAAAGGCTTGAGCGAGACCCAAAAGAATGCGTGAAAATAGAAGCTGGGGACAGGACAAGGGGCCTAGAAAACATACAGGTACCGGGGGTTTTAAATAAAAGAGGAATTCTAAAGATTAAAACCCATCTTTTTCATAAATTTGGTATCTAGTCTCCATAAAGAAGACACACCAAAAAATCCTGTTTGTTTTGTCAAAGTTTGCAGGATTTACACATTATATTATCTTTCTTTTCCCATGTGAAATGAGCAGTTATAGACACAAAGGAACTTTACAGAAAGGCTAGTCCGCGAGGGAAGCCTCCAACTGTTACGTGATTGCGCCAATTCCCAGTTTTTTGAGTGGGAGCTGCTGCCACCTGCTGCCTGCACTACTCTTACTGCAGTCAACACTGAAGACAGCAGCATACCTGTTAAGTCAATGTTAATATGGAAAACATACCTATTTTGTCCATGATCCTTAGAAAATAATTTAGATCGGGCCGCATTAACAGCTGTGGAAAGTTAAAGATTGTCTAACTTTCTAATATGTTTTAAATGATATGCGTTCTCTGTTAGGGCTTTTTTTTTTTTTTTTTTTTTTTTTTTTTTTTTTTTCCGTGTCCGGCAACGGATCGCAACCCTCAGTGTTGCCCCCGTACCGGACCGGGGACCGGCAACGGGATTGCAACCCTCGGCGTTGCTCCCGCGCCTCGCTCAGCCAGTGAGCGGGAACCGGTCTGTATGTGGGATCCGAACCCTCGGGCGGGAGCGCCCGCCACGCTTCCCAAGCGGCGCACTTATCCAGTGCGCCACCGGGCCGGCCCTCTGTTAGGGCTTTTATATGTGAAAAATATTCATTTTCCCCCTCAGTATAGATTGTGGTGGTGTCCTACTTTTTAAATCTTATATTAGTAATTTAAATATAGGAGTTTGATTTTTTCTCCTCCCATTTAAGTTTTTTTCCTGGTCCATATGGTTCCTTGAGTATATTCCTGGAGTATAAAACAATACCAAGGGATAATTTTGGATTTTTTGTGTTCATCTTAATGATGTTGATTTTATAAGATGGAAAGTGCCCAAAAAGATGTTATTGACAGGAAAATGCGTGTGTCCAAATCTAGGGGAAGAGAAGGAAAGAGATGTTGAATATGGCTTTCTAATCATTTATAGAATAGCCAAGATTGAGTTCCAGAAACAAATAGTTCCACAGGAAAAAAAGAGAGAAAGATTTCCCTGGTATATTTTATATGAAATTGTTGAAACCTTGATACCCAACCTGGATGAAAAAAATGAAGTTATAGACCTTCTGACTTTAGCCTATAGATGCTGGAATACAAAATGAAATGTTACCAAATGCAGTCAAGCAGTTTATAAGATCAAAACTCATGACTAAGCATGGCTTTTTCTAAATAAATACAAATGTAGCTTTACAACAGAAACATTAACAGATATTAATGTAATTTGTCACATTAACAGATCAATAGAGGAAAAAAGTTTACAACCATTTAAAAATATATAAAAAAGCACATGGAGCCGCAAGCAGGCACACTGCTGCCACCTCCCCAGGGCCCTGCCGGGGTGCTGAGGCAGGAGCTGGGGGAAGGGGAACACAGCCGCAACCAGGTGAAGAATACACCAAAAACACTATTTCCACACAGGTAGCCCACCATAGTCACCACAATTGTCATGGCTGCCACAAAAGCAGCTAGTTGCTATAGCAGTCACAGCCACCGTGCAGATGGCACACCAGACACTCGACTGCATTGACACGCGGAGACCAAAAAAAAAAAATAAAAAGAGGGGTCCTCTCTCTCGACAAAACACACTTCACAGTAATAAAAGAAGCATCTGCCATATGATAATAGTGGGGGACCTGAACACACCTCTCTTAGTACTGGACTGACCATCTAGTCAACAAATCAACAGAGAAACAGTAAATCTATCATCAGAAGGAAAGAACAAATCTATAGTTATTACAGGAGGACGAGAATGGATAAGGAACATAAGGAATCTGTCAATAAAAAGCATATGATTCAGTATTTTGATAAATATGCTAAGCAAGCTATTAATAAAATAGAATTCCCTTAACCTGATAAAGAATATCTACTGAAACCTATAGCAAAAGACATATTTAAAAGCTAAAAGTTAAAAATATTGCACTTAAAGGATGAAATTACAAAAGAGAATATTTATATTGACATTGATAAAATATTAAATGCAATGACATTTAAGTTATTTTTTGAACACCTAGTAGTTTTTAAAGTGAGCCAGAGGCTACCTACTTGATCAGGAAACTTACAGTTTCACTTTCAGGAATTATTGGAAGTCCTGCACTTTGTTTTCATGAGGTGACGTGGCCTCACACATATTATAAATTTTTGGTGTGTGTGTGTGTGTTTAATGGTCTTTGAATGCAATGGAAAATTAGTTTCTCATGATTTTTACCAAATTGAACTTTCATTGAATGCATAAATAGGCACAAGTAATCAATTCCCAATTTGGGCTACTAAGTAAAGAATCATCTCGCAAAGCAGGATAAAATCTTATTTTAGTCACTGCCTTTCACAGACATCTCTTCCCAAAGTTTCAATTAGGCACTGATACAGATGATACTTGCTCTTCCTTTTCTTTCCTAATCTCTTGATCAAGTATAGACTAATAGGGGCTATATAGTAATAGGCAAAGAATGGAACTGGGTAATCCAGCAATTGGATAAATTTTAAGAGAGAATTATTTAACCATCCTTATTTAATAGACTAAGTCTGCTGTCCTTCATAGCATAGAGTAAGTCCCACAAAACATGAAATAACTCTCTACAGTGGAAAATATATTTAAAATAAAATGTTTAAATTTGTACTTAAACCCTCATGCAAATTTATAACCAAAAATTAAACTTGGATATCCAATTAAACATGGGTAGATGAGCAACATAAGTTTATTTCTCTCCTGAGACTCCACTAACATGCTACTAGAAGAATTTAACAGGGAGATAAATTAAAGGGGAAGAGGACCGTGGCAGAAGACGCATCAGTGAAGAAGACATTTTGTGAAAAGGAAAGCGGATGTTGATGTGGTAACTGTTGAGAATGGAAGACGTTATACCACACAGAGGGAGCCTATGATGAGAGACAGCTAATTCACTTTGCAAAATCCTGTTTGTGCAGGACTCAGAGACACCAGGTAGCTATTAAGGATGTTCCAGGGGAAAAAGAGAAAACAATGAAAAATGGAAGATCTGGGATCCTGGATAGAGGGCATCTGACACAAGACAGAGGCAAAAGGAAGTGGTAGGATGACAGTGGGGTAAGCTGAGAAATCAATCTGTCTAGAAGGAAGTGAGAGGACAGAAAGCTCTGGAAGGAAGTTCTCCAGGAAAATAATAAAACTGATAGATTACCTTATACGTTTGAGCATTTGGAAAAGGAGTAATAAAAAGATTGAATGCAAAAGCTAAACTGGACATGCAGCTAAACATGGTTACAAACTCTGAAAAGTTGTCAGAATCAAAATGGAGTCAACTGTGTTAAACAAAACCCTGACAAAGACTGCACAAGGCCATGAAAAGAGGGTTCTCCTGCATAAATTCCTGATAAGAATTATCACAGAAATCTCTGCAAAAACCACAACTTTATGCACAGGCCCTCACAACCTTACACACAAAAACACTTCTGCAAGGATATCCACTCAGCAATTGCCTGCCCAACTGTAGACTGACACACCCTCGTTATTGATCCTTGTAGCCTAGGACAATTATTATGTATTATGACATGTAAGAAGAGGAAAGATAACTTCAGAGAGCTAAATCCTCATCTACTGTAAGAGAAGACAACAGGGAGAGTCCAGAACGAGCAGTTACAA